ACCATTGTCCATAAATGTATACAATACTAATATTTATGCATACAACCACTACAACATCATCATGCACAATAACCTACCACCATGGTTATTGTACACCACCCAAATTGGCCAACAAGCATAACATATAGTTCATACAACATATATATCTTTAATGCAATCACAACAACTCAAATAATCACATTTGAAATAATGCATTATATCACACCATATTATAACATAACCTCAATCACGTCGAACAACAAAATATCACTACTCATGTACACAAATGTATGCATTACGAATACTTATGCATACAACAATGACAACATCATCATGCATAATAACCCACCACCATGGTTACTGTACACCGCCCAAAGTGGTCAACAAGCATAAAATACCTTATATATATATATATATATATATATATATATATATATATATATATATATATATATATATATATATATATATATATATATATATATATATATATATATATATATATATATATATATATATATATATTATGCAATCATAACAACATCATTAAAACATCTTCATATTACCATCATTAACATCACAACAACATCTTTGCAACAACACTCAAGATTCGTCGCTTACAACACAACTTCTTAGCGTACACAACAATTAATAATCACATTCCTAAACATATTAGACAATAAACTATTGATAAAATAATTCACCTAACTATACCATATTAAAGTTTTATTCATTAGCTTTCTAACGCTTTAAAAGGCTCGTCGTTTGGATAAGTGGTTAAAAAGTTATGATCGAAACCGTTTCTAGCATTTTTTCTATGTGCTGATGCAGAGGTCGATGCACAGGGCATGCAGGCCGACTCACAGGCTTGTAGATCGACACATGATGTCCTGGTTTTTCAAATTATTCATTTTGGGAAGCTTCAGGTCGACACACAAGATCCTGGATGTCGACGCATGCTGTTAGGAATCCCATAAATAATTTAAAAAAAAAAAAAAACACTTTTACCCTTGCTTGTCATGCTAGAACCTATGCTACAAAATTCCATCATCATGACTTAATTTTATACTATATTAACATTTTAAAACTTAATTATACTTTGTTTTACTCATGGATTAACATCATACAATCATCACTTTCTTACCTGCGACTCAAACCTTCATAACTCAATAATGGGGGAAACTTATCAACAATCCAAAACAGATTTATCACACATATATGCAACTGAATTCATCACCCTTAAATCACCATTAACACACTTAAGATCACAATTATATCAATGACATATCAAACATCATAATCAACGATTTTGCCATACTTTTCATCATGCTTTTATTAAATCATCATACAAGACAAAATCTACATCTATCTTAACCATCTATCGATCATAATAAACCAGGATTACACCCCTTACCTCGATTCCTAGAGATTAACTATTTTCCTTTACGTTCTATCAAGTTCTCTTCTTGGTTCTCTGTAAGCCTTAGCCTCTCTTCTGTTCTTCTCAAATGTTACGATCCTATAGAATGAATTCTCTTTCCTTGTTTTACTTGTTTAACCCTAAGACCCTTTTTGTGGCTTGTCTCTTATGCCCCCTCACTTACTCCTCTAACTCTCTATTATACCCTAAATATTCTCCAAATTACCAATTCTGCCCCTCATTATTATTTTCACCTTAATATTCTTATTTTAATTATCATTATAAATCTAAATAATATAACTAAATTATTTAAATCTAAATAATTCAATTCTCCCCTAATATCCCTCTTATTTCCCCATAACACATCAACATACATCATATAAATAAATCAAAATTCACAAATAATCATTTAGATAAATAATTCTAAGTTTTTGGGGTGTTACATTTTCAACTTTTGACGTTTTTCCTTGTTTTGCTTGTTTACGATCCTTTTCATTTCGAACACTCATTAGACCCTGAAAATGAAAAAAACACATAACCAAAGCGTAAAATATGATAAATAGAAACAAATTGGACAAAAAGCGATAAAATGCTAAATAAAAACAACTAGAAATAACATTATGAAAACCACTTATCAAACTCTTCCGAACTTAGACATTTTCTTTTTCTTAAGCAACAAAGCTTTCTTATAATTTTTTTTGGATCAAGCAATTCATTACATGACAAAGCATACTAAATTGTAGTTATCGATACTCATACGTGAGCTTTTCGTTCTAATCGACTACCACTAGTTCTCTCGGTAATCACTTGATAACAAAGGTATTCGCAAGAACACTAACCTCAATAAAGCTACCGACCTAAGTCTCCATTTCAGACACCTCTCTAACTATGCTTTGGCCTTAAGTCTCTTTTTCCGAGTTTCTCTTCCCTTTTCATTTGGACAATCAATTAAGACAATTGATTTATTTTCGTCTTCACATGCACAAGATCGGTCGAAAGTTTTTGTTTAAGCACCATTTTTATTCTTTTCTTTTACTTGTAAAGTTACACACTTTTGTGCGCTTATTTGTCCACTTTGGGACGACGTTTTTGGTTCAACCACCATTAGGCTAAATAACTGAGTGAGGGTTACCCAACTTATAAGGTGTAGTTTCCTTTTACCATCTTTTCATCAATTTGGTGCCAAAATTATTTTTTTTCTTCCCAACTAATCATACATGCATGCAAGTCTAGATTACGTCGGACTATCATTATAAACTAATCAAGGGATACTTTTTAGAAGCCGAGTACTATGACACATATCTACACATTGGATCCGCGTCCTACTTCTGGGGACCTAGGGTGTTCGAGTAATACCTAAGTTGTCAAACTTTCACAATGTCCCTAGTCATAGCCTTCCATCCCTCTAACTCTATATACTTTCTCGGTTTTCTCAAAACCTAAGTTTTTCAAGAATTTTTTTTTGCACGGTCCTAGTTCGGGAAAACCTTTGAAAGAGTAGTCTTTTGAAATAAAAAATATGGGAATAACTAAAAAACAAGAAAAAACATAATCATAAACATAAAAGAAAAGAAAGACAAAAGAAAGTTAAGAAGTACACCCCAAAACTTAAACCTTGTTTTAGTGCAAGTGAGAGAGAGTAAACTCACACGAACCTTACTTAGGAGGTGAGAAGCGCAACATGAGTTGTTGCATAATCATTTGGACGTCATCCAAGATCGCTCATTGCCTAGTTTGTTCAACCTTCATGCAATGAGTTTCAGATTGAACCCACTCCCACCTATCTTAATTTGCATTTGAAGCCCCGACTTCGGTTTGGGTATGAAGTATGGGTAGAGGAACAATGTCCTCTTCCATTACGGTACCTGTAGCATGGTTAGTAATATCGGGTTGACCCTCTTCCATAGACGAGTTACCTGGAGAGGGGACGCCCGCTTGGGAAAGCCAATTATTTGGAATATCAATTTTTACCTTTCTAGGATTAGGCAAGTCGAGAATTTCCTTGTTACTGATCATCACCGTATAAGTGTTACCATTTAGGGAAATCATACCTCGATGCACAAGGGAATCCATATCCACTTTGTTGCTGAAGGGTTGCACATCATTGAAAGTATGAAGGTTTGATTTGACAAATTTCTACATATTTTGCATTGACACCATTGAAAGATTATGCATGAACTCATAGAAGTTTCCAATCATTCAAATTAAACGCGTTTGTGTATACATGATTGTGCATTCTCGATTTTAATTACGTAAAAATTTGTGCATGAATCTCGTGTTTGACAAATTTCACAATCATAAGCGTAAACACATTTGCTGAAGGATTACACGTTGTTGAAATATTGAAGGTTTGTGTATATGTAGAAACATGACAGATTTTGCTTTCAAGTCGTTTAATTAGGGTTTAACTACCGAATAAGTGCACATCGTTAAAAGATTGAAGACTTGAATTTAAAAATTTCTACAATTTTTTTTGCAAAACATGTCGTTGAAAGATTGAAGGTTTGGTTTGACAAATTTCTACCGATTTTGCAAAACACGTAGTTGAAAGCTGTTTAATTATAGTTTAAAAAGAGTTAGATAATCCCCTTCAAACTCTATTTGATCATAAGATATTCAAATTTTTTTGAAAAAGACAAAAGACTTTTCGTCATTGTCGTCATCATCAATAGAAGAAATCAACATTTGAACAAATAAAATTATTTATACATTAGTTAAGATTAATAGAAAAATATTTTAGTAGACACGTCAAAAATATAAATATATCTTATCATAAATTTACTATTAAAAGATCAATTGGTTTTAAAACATGTCAGATCTATATTAGTAAAAAATAATTTAGAAAATATCAGATCAATATTAGTAAGAAATAACATCATGATCTTTGTGAGTCCAAGAAATCCAACTAATGTAAACTTTTTTTTTTAATAAAAAAACTTTTATAATCAACTTATGTCATAAGCTATCCAAAGGTAAACTAGTTATTATGAAAGAAACAAAGGCAAGTGTAGAAAAGTATTACGTAAGTGATTGAATTAGTTGGACACACATTATAATTACCGTGTATCCTGGAGGAATATAAGATGCGTGACGTAGTAACAAGTGTGCTGACAAGCGTGACTAAATGGGCAGTTAAGGTAATTTAACTTTTAATCCCATTATTTTTTTAAATTTTTATTATCATCATGTCCATTCCCATACCATAAGGGTTTATTTTTTCCTTTCATACCTTCATTCATCCTCATCACTTTCATCACCCAACACACCACACAACACATAAAAACTCCAACGTTATTCTCACCAAAAAGTTTGTGCAGCGATTATATCCACAATTACCCTTTTAACCCCACATCCATTACTCTCCTTTTTTATATTCTCTATGTGTTTTCTCAACTAGTTTTCACTTTGATCTTTTCTTAATCTTCATTTTTTAGATACAACCCAGGTAAATAAGCTTTATTTATTTATTTATTTAATTTCGTTTTTTATTTGTTTATTATTATTAATATATTTATAACTAGTTCAATATATTTGATACAGATTCACTGAAGCTGATAAAAAAATAAATAAAGTTACAACTTTCGCGTTTAGAGAAGTGATTATGGCGGTCGCTGAGAATGTTGGAACCAAAGTCGATGCTTCCGGTGAGAATTTGGACAAGAGTGTGGTTTCATCGGACTCGACTGAGGTTGAGAAATCTAAACCCAGAAGCGATCAGAATCTGAACGGCAACAACAATACCAATGGTGGTGTGTTTGATCATCAGCCAGACAGTGTTGTTCCTGCTGCTGCTATGACTGTTCCGAATGGAAATCATGGCTTCAAGAGTCATCAGATGGGTCAGATGCATGGGAATGGGGCACAGAATCAGAATCAGCTTTTGGTGGTCAACAATGGGGGAGAGAGTTTCAAGCGTGAAATGAGGGATTTGGAGGAGTTGTTGTCGAAGTTGAATCCCATGGCGGAGGAATTTGTTCCTCCGTCACTGGTAACTAATTATCAGGGATATTTAGCTGCTGCTGGACCTAATGCTGGGTTTGGTTACCCTAACAATTTTTTGCTTCCGAACAATTCTGGGAATGCTAATGGACAGAATAACGGACAGATTAACATGAGGGTATGGATGTTTTGTTTGATCTCGATTTATTCATATGATTTTTTTAGGTTTTGATCTGTGTTATATGTTTCTTTTTTTTTTAATATTGTGTTGCAGAGAAAGAATGGATATAATAATGCGAAGCGGAGAGTAAATCATAAAATGGACATGGAGAAAAGAGAAGAGATGATTAGGAGGACTGTTTATGTGTCTGACATTGATCAGCTGGTACAGATTTTAGCTGTCTTGTTGAATCTCTCATTTCTGTTTGTTTGCGTTGTATTTCCGCTGTTTATTCGCGTTGTATTTCCGCTGTTTATTCATTTGAAGGATTATTGTTTTATGTTGGAATCTAGGTCACTGAAGAGCAGCTGGCAGCTATCTTTCTTAACTGTGGTCAGGTAGAACGGGTTATATTTTGTATATGATGTTTGTTCTTATTCTTCGCGAAGAAATTGTATGCTGTACAATAACTATCACATGAAAATGTAACGTAATGCAATGAAACGCGGCAAAAATATACTTTTTAACTAATTATTATTTGTGCATGGAGCCCAAATCATTAGTAAGATGTGTCCATCAGATACATTTGTTACGTTACATTATCGTTTGTGTTGTTATAGTTTCCGCGGCAAAGATATACTTTTTAACTAATTATATGTGCATGGAGCCCCAATCATTAGTAAGATGTGATTGTCAGATACGGTTGTTACGTTACATTGTCGTTCTGTTGTTATAGTTTCCGCGGCAAAGATATACTTTTTAATTAATTATATGTGCATGGAGCCCCAATCATTAGTAAGATGTGATTGTCAGATACGGTTGTTACGTTACATTGTCGTTGTGTTGTTATACTTTCCGCGACAAAGATATACTTTTTAACTAATTAATTGTGCATGGAGCCCTAATCATTAATAAGATGTGATTGTCAGATATGTTTGTTACGTTACGTTGTCGTTTGTGTTATACTTTCCGTGACAAAGATATATATTTTAACTAATTAACTGTGCATGGAGCCCCAATCATTAGTAAGACGTGAACATTGGATACACGTGTCATGTTACGTTGTCGTTTGTGTTGTTATATTTTCCTTTTCTTAATGATGGTGGACCATATTACTGAGTCAACTAATCTTACGTGGACATAGGTTGTTGATTGCCGTGTATGTGGGGATCCCAATTCTGTTCTTCGGTTTGCCTTCGTCGAGTTTACGGATGAAGGTGACGTCACGTGATCCGTTACATTGTCGTATGTCTTGTAATTATTATCGTTATTTCACTGTATTAACTATATTATATTATATTATGTATACAGCCGGTGCTAGGACTGCTTTGAACCTGTCTGGAACCATGCTCGGATTTTACCCATTGAGAGTGCTCCCTTCAAAGACTGCCATTGCACCTGTTAATCCAACATACCTGCCTAGGGTAATGTTTCTTCTCAGAGCGACCTAATAATTTTTATCATTTCCGTTCTGCTTTTCTGACGGTGCTCTATTTTTCATTCAGTCTGAAGATGAAAGAGAGATGTGCACTAGAACAATTTATTGCACAAATATCGACAAGAAGGTAGTTCGCCATTTGAACTTTCTTAGGATCTTGCTTGGAGAAACCCTTTGCTCTCTTTCCGTATCTGTATTGCTATTGTGTCTGATAATTCTTATTTGTTGATTGCTACTGCTGCAGCTTACTACAGCAGATGTCAAACACTTCTTTGAATCGCTTTGCGGAGAGGTTTGTGGCAATTCATTGAACCGCACTTCTAGTTTTTATTCTTTGTTAAGGTGCGATGCTTGAATGTTTGTGTTCATCCTAAAATATTTTTCTTTATTTTGGTTTATTCATCTAGGTTCAACGCCTGAGGCTTCTCGGGGATTACCATCATTCAACTCGAATTGCTTTTGTGGAGTTCACCGTGGTAATTACTCACTAACTTCTCTATTGTTGTATTTTCATCTGATACTAGTCTTGTTTAAATGGCTATTTTGTACATTCTCTATCTATTTAAGAAGTTATAATAGTCAGGTTGCATTCTACCGCTTCCTTTTCAGTTGTCATTCATAGTAATGCAGTTATCCCAATTCCCCCCTCCTAAAATAAATACATTTTGTTTTATTTTGATAAGCACCCTAGAACTTCAAATCCCTTCCTCAAAAGCTAACTGCCAAGGGGTAATAATCAAGCTACCTAAATACTCCGTTAAGCATTTCATATTGTTCGATGTGTGATTTAGGCACCTTGTAATACCCAAGTCTGCTTAGTACTTGAACACTGCCCTTGACATTCAATGTCATGATGCTTTCACTCTACGTCGTCTCACTCATATTTTATAACTCAACATTTCCCAAAACTGTCCAGATTTTGAAAAAAAAGAATCGATAAAAATGAGAAACAAATCTTGATGATTTTACTGGGATGAAAGAAATTGTGTGCGCGCGTGTGCTCATATGTGTAAAGGGAGCTGCTAAGACGCTCCTTTTTTCTTTGAAGTATGTTAGCGTTAGCAAGCTCCACCTTTTCTTTGGGTTAACAAACTCCCGCTTTTTTTCTAGTAACTAGTTTTATTATTATTCAATTAATAAATAAAATACTCTCTACACCTTTTTTTTGTTCTTTAAAAGAAATTTGTATTCTGGTATTGTTTGTGCGTCGAAACAAGAGCTGGAAATCTCTCATGGCAGATACAGTGTTTTCGATGGCGGTCCATGGCGGAGAGCCAAAATCCCGCCATACCGTCCGCTTTGCGGCGCCGTTATTGCGGATTATGGCGGAAAAACCCGCAATAGCGGACAATATTTACCATTGCGGCAAGCCCAAAAACCACCATGTATATCGGCCATAGTGGCCATGGCGCCGCAATTTGATAACACTGAGCAGATATATGATCAAATATTGGGAATGGCTTCGCCTTGCTTCCCATCCACTTTCTCTCCATCTACATTGATGCCATAGATAGAGGTTGTCAAGTTCCGTATCTTCGTCAATGGATTTGATGAAGATTTGGACTGTTCTCGGTTCTCATACACAATTTCCACTCACTTCAAGCAGTGTTATCAAATATCAGCCATGGCGGTGCTATGGCAGATATATATGGTGGTTTTTGCACTCGCCAACAATGGTAAATATCAGCCGATATTGGAGATTTTTCTGCCATAATCCGCTATAAAGGTCCCACAAAGCGACCAATATGGCGGGATTTTGGCTCTTTGCCATGAACCACCATCTGCCATTGATAACACTGACTTCAAGTGGACTATGCTGGTCATGTTCCTCACTATTTTTATTTTCTATCAACAAGCTGATGCTGTTTTCATATAGGAGCCGAGTTTTAGGTTGATTCTGAGTTCAAAGTCAAGCTCAGTTTGTGAGATGTTCTTGCATAGAAAATTGAGAAGGAAGAAGACAATCATATCACATTGATTTTCTTTTAACAAAATTAAATTTCAACCATATGCCTAAATGTAAGCTGTGTATAGCTTAAAATAATTGCTTATGAAAACTGAATTAAGGAATCACCAATCACGTTTTTGAGACCCGAACTCCCCTCCCTACAATATTCTCTACTCATATCCTTAATTAAATGTCTCCCTTTCCTCACATGCTCAGTTAACTACCTAATCATTGGCGATAAACAGTTACAGAGAGCTGTATGTTTTATTCACTGATTCAATGTGTCAAGCCTCTGCCTCTCTCCTATTCCTCCTAATAGGAGAATAGTAGGTCATTATGGAATAGTATTTTATTATGATTGATGTTTCCTTTGTGCGATTATTTCAAATTCACTATCTTAGCTATTCATAGAAATGTTTTGCAAAACACACGTTTCTTCCCTTGTTTATAATATTCAAAAAGGAAGAAAAACTGTATTAGGAAGCATGCTAATGAAGGAAATATGTATTTTTTTTCTTTCTAAAACTGGAAACAATCTGTGACCATAATGTGGTGAAAATAGGCTGTGATGGTATGGTAAATTTATCTGTATAAAATAAAAGAGGTTAATTATATCTAGGGTCGAGTGTATCCCCAAGTTTTGCACCTATTTATTGGACAATAATAATGTCAAATTCTTTAGGTACCCCCACTTTTGGAAATAGCCAACCCCTTCTTTTTAAGGGAAGTTACCAGCCAGTCAGCCACACTTTATATGGCATATGTGATGCTGACTTCTGATTTTACCGTGTTTGTTTGTCTTCTAGTATAGATATAAATGTATTTACCAAATCTTGGGCTTCCTTATTTTGAATTAGTGTAGTTATGCCTGTTTGACCATAATAACTTCAACTCCACGAATTTCATTTTTGGTCCAAACATGCACTATGCCTACTTTTTCATTGTCTTCTTTTGGCAGTGTTCATAATTGATTTGTTCCCATTTTAGCTGATTAATTTGTTGAATGCAATAAAATTCTCACACTATAAGATTTTGTTTGTTTTACCTTTGAATTTTATGCATTTCTGTGGCATCATAGTTTTGTTAGTTTCAATTTATATTATTTGTAAGATACTTCTGTTGAATTGCTATTAACTGCTATGGTCCTGATACTTCAAAAATTGATGAAACCTTTTGCTTTTAAGAAATAGATGCCGCAATTACAAGTAAATTATTAACAACGTCTCTGTTATTTTCTTTACTATCTGAAGATTTGTTTTCCTTATTCTTTCAGGCTGACAGTGCAATTGCAGCACTGAGCTGTAGTGGCGTGGTTTTGGGCGCACTTGCTATAAGGTTGGATTAACTAATTTTCCTTTCATTTCGGCTGCTCTAAAAACTTACGTTTCGTCAATTAACCGTTCTTATGTTTTGGTATGCAGGGTGAGTCCATCCAAGACACCAGTCCGCCCTCGCGCAACCCGTCCTCTCATGCACTGAATCATCTCTCATGCTCCTTGGATGAATGCGGCTCAGAGATATATATTTACATATATATACATACATAGAAACAGATATGTTTTAAGGTACCTGTGGCGTTTAGTCGAAACTTTTGTCGCCAAAACTTGCAGTATGGTATCTTTTGTTTCTCGTTGGGGCTATATGAGTTATTATGCGTTATAACTTGTAGAGTTGGATGTCGTTTTGAGGTTCTTTAAGGCTTAATTTATGCTGGTCGGTCTCGCAACGAGAGAATTCTATGGTTGGATGTTTCTAACTTCCGGTGTTTACAGTTTATTTAAAGAAACATGTTTTAGAATCTTTGGTTTGTTATTAATTTAGCTGTTTGGTTTCTGTTTGGATACTTCTTTTGATCTTTCTGATATGCCATATGAAGAGTGACCAATTCTTTGATTGGGTTGCCAACCGCCAACCAAGCCCGCTGTCGCATGTACTTTGTTGTGTCTTTCTTGTACCCTTTCTAAGCCAACGTTAGTTGTTGTGTTGTGTTTTCCCAGTCACATTTTTCCACCAACCTTATTTTTATAACATCAAACACAGACAGACCCAACCCTTGATTGGTTTGATATATAAAACAAATAAACCTTAGATTTCTGGTCGGGAGGAAGCAACCTTGGTTTTAGAATGGTTTGAACTTTGAATCCCTTAGTCCTTTAATTCCATTGTATATTTCAATATCTACCAAATATATTCCCAATCTCTTTTCCAGACTGGAGTTCAATCTTTCTACCAACCATGCCCTTTTATTATATATATGGAAAGTTTTTGGTCTAATTTATGATGTCATTTTCTAATGGAATGTGGAGTCTGTTAGCATGATGATATCTTGTGTTTTGGCATCTCAGCTACCTCCGAATGCTTAACGTGTATGTAAGTTGAATTTGCCAGTAAACCTAGTAAAACTTAGTAGTGAAAATCTCTAGCATTGACACCTTTGGAAGAAAGGCGTAGGGACGTTAATTGACTCCCTTGATACTTGTTAATTGACTCCCTTGATACTTGTGATTGCACGTCTCATGTCGCTATTGTGTTTCTGGTGTCGCCTAATATAGATGAAAAAAAAAGTAAAAGTGAGTTGTAGTCTTAGTTGATTGTACATATATTGGTTAAACAAATTAGTTTAATGTTTCTTGTACTGCAAGGTCAAATTTTAGAATATTTTATTTAAGCCCATGTTGATTTTAAAAAGAAAGTTCTTTTCATATTTTTAAAAATAATGATTATTATGATTATGACAAACTTTCATCAGAAATCCTTCAGTGTTATTTAAGTTTTTTTCTTTTACAACTTGATCATTCAGGGTGACTTTTACTACTTTTTCTCACATTTTGAAAATTATTGTATTTCTGATTATATTTTATTATTTAAAATAATTGTATTTATAATTAACACTTTTATTCTATTAAGAAAGAATAACTGTGTATATGTTTGGTAATTTAAAAGATCAAATTATTCAATTTTTTTTAAAGAAGCAATTTATTATTAAAAAAATCTCAGATGTAATTTAATCATTTTTTAAAATAAAAAACTAGGAGAAATTATTCTAAATTTAAATATTTGTCATTAAAAATCACAGATAATTTTTAAAATAATATTTATTCAAAATTACGTTACTTGTGCATATAATTTGTTGTTGTGAATGAATATGCATTGTTTTTCTTCAACGTTATTTTCAGAGTTGAACACTTGCTGGTCAATACTCTATGGTGAGTATTGATTTTAACGACATTATTTCCAACATATAAGAATATGTTTGTTTCAATTCTTTTATTTTTGAATGATTTTACTTTTACTTCATCAAACATTTGTTCTATTAGTAAAAAATATTATTATTTGAAAAAAGGATTTTCAATAACTTAGAATATTACGTTGAAATCACGAATATATCCAATAAAAGCTGCATCATGAAAAGAGTCTTAGAATAAGTACTAGTTCATTTAAAATAAAATATTCCACCCTAGCCAAGCATCTCTACGTTTTAGAAAACTCAAGATCGGTGGATTCCACATTTGGTATGTTATTCTATTTTATCAGGAACTTGTCACATTTTTCGATTTATTTTTAAATTTAAATATTAAATAAATCATATTTTTAAAATATTTACGAAAATAACTATGTTTTAGAATAATTTGAGAATGTGCCATTTAAAATGTCGCCTACACTAATTTTTTTCTCATACGCCATTTGATTTGGAGTGTCTATGTCACATAAGCTATATGAAATAGTGCCATTTTATGAAGCCATAACTCATGCGCCATTTCATATGGTGCATCATCTTCTAATTTTTTTTCTTCAAAATAATTTGTGTATGCGCCATTTCATATGACTACTATACTACTCCCACATTATAAATATAAACACAACACCACCTCCTCTTCATTTCTCGCAATTCTTATCCTTCTTTTATTTATTTATTTATAATTTTCTTTCATTTTCTTTCAAAATGACTTCCTTTTCTTCCTTTTCATATCTTTATGAAATGCCGATTTAATTTTTTTGTCAGTCAAACCTCCGATGATGATTCACCTCTAGAATACGCAGACGTTCAAACATCTTAACAGGAGCCTAAACCGTTGGTTAGATGGAGGTATTTCAAAGGGTGAAAAGATCAGAAGAATTGAAAGACTTGTTACCACGTTCAACCATAATGGAGAAGCTCATTGCTGGGAGAATGTTACAACTGACATAGATGTTCAGATGCTGATGTATAGTTCTCAGGAAATTGTCTTGATAGCTGTAATCGCATAGTTATGTTGTTTAGTCGTTGTATTTATTTGTTTTGTTGTTTAATTATTTAAATTAATGTTACTTGTTATTTTTAAATTATTGTTATTGAGTGTCATGATATTTATGAAATAAAAGTTGTTGTTGATATAAAGAGAAACGCTTACATTTAAATTATGTTGTTGAGCTTGATCCAACATTGGGACATTTTGTACGATTGTGCCCGGGCTGACAACATGAATTATATAACCTCACCATTTTGTTCGTTGTATCCATTTCTGTTCGAATATGCGTGTTATTAGGGCGACCCTTTTTCTTTCTTCGCATAATTTCATTGTGCTAGACTATTTCCCCTTCATATGCAGACCGATTGTCCTCTTTTACTACCACCAGAAAGCTAGTGTTGTAGACATTACATAGACTTATGACTTGGTAAACAACAGACAGCAAGTTGGAAGGGTCTTGGCAAGCCTTTGAACATGCCGCTATGACATGGGAGCAAGGCATACGAAAGGCTTGAAACTTTCTGCAGTCGCACCAACTTCTATCTAGTTCAACTTGACATGATCCCCTCGGCCTCCCTTCATTGTGATCCATTAACTCACTAACACTGAACTAACCTTTATTGCGGTCAAACACTGTGACCACATGTGTGTTAGCTTTGGCAGCTTCCTCCTTAATAAATTGCATTGAACTATTACTAAATAGCTGCCCAGATTGTAAGAGAGAAGTCCAATTTGAACGTCTGATATCAAAAAGTGCCCCGAGCCTAAAATAGGTTGCTCTTACTAAAGTGGTTATCGGTAGGTTTCAGATGCCTTTGAATATAGAGTTCATTGATTCCATAAGATTTGTTATCATGTGGCACCATAGTTGTCCAATGTCGTATGCCCTGGTCCATTTCTCCAATTGAATATTGTCCATCCACCTTAATACATCTGCATTTTTCAATTTGATTTCTTCACAGTAGTATTTGAAGGAAGGTTCTGTTAATGCATACTCTGCGTCCATAACCTTCTTCCGCATCGTCTTGGCTTTGATCTCCTGCATGAAATTTTGAGCGATGTGTCTAACACAATAGACATGCGTTGAAGGAGGATTGTGCCAACCATTATCAAGATTTTTATATCCACTCTCAATTGATGCATGTCTGTCCGAAATCAAACATAAGTTAGGTTACGAAGCCACGTGTAATCGAAGATTTTTTAGGAAAAAAGCTCCAACTCCCTACAGTCTCCCCTTCATCTAGAGCGAAGGCGATTGGAAAAATGTTGTTGTTGCCATCTTGTGCTACTGCCATGAGTAACGTTCCTTTTTATTTCCCGTATAACAATTTTCCATCAATTTGTATAATAGGTTTACAGTTGGAAAAACCTTTGATACATGGTTCAAATGCCCAGAAGAGTCGGTGAAATATGTCATTTCCACTAACAAAAGTCCCGTATGGGGTATATGCCGACAAGGTATCCAAAATGGAAACAATCCTTAGAGCATATTGTTTAAGTGCCACCAAATATTTTGGAAGTTCTTTATACAACTCCTTCCAATTTCTGAACACCGTTTCAACCGTCTTAGACCTAACTATCCATGCTTTCTTGTACGATAGAGTATAATTGTATCTTTGAACGATATGCGAGATTATTGTACTCACATTCAACGACAGATTATCGCTAATGACATGTATAATTTTATTGCATATTAACTGAGAGTCGAGTTTGTGATGATCCTGCATCACATTGGTGATTATACAAGTGAGCTTTAGACCCATAAACCCTATCTTCCAAGAATCGCTTATCTTCCAGTAAGATGCTATTAATCGGAACGGGTAGACTTCATTACAATAATAGATCTTATACAAAGTCACATTCGGTCGACCCTATAATCAACTGATAATTCCATGTGATACTGTTTTATAGCTCGGACACAATCTTCTTTTGTTCGAAAATTGTTTCCTTCTTTTAATACTCCTTGTGTTTGCATATATGGATTGTAAAAAATATCTGAAGATGGTTAATCTGCACCCAAGTTCAGGTTTGTCATGTGTTGAGGTGGACAATAAACATGACTGGCCATTAATGGGTCTTCCTCGTGCTCGGTAGTGGAATCGTTTACCATTCCATCAACCAAGACCTCAACTTCTTTTTCTTCTTCTTCTTCTTCATCAACAACATCGACTTCAGCTTGTTTGTCGTCAGATTCACAAAAAAACTTGAGAAGGATCAACGAGTTGAGACATTTTGTGTTGTTGTAGTATA